GAAACGTGGAATATGCGGAATTTAATGGATAAACAGATTTTTGCTAGTATTATATATGTGTATTGAGAGCCATATCTGCGACACAGGTATAACGTAACCGAAATTTAATACCGTGACTACAACGGCGCGTATTGTGAAATTTATAGTCCTGGATTTCATACGTTTCCATATTTTCGCTATGTATACGTTTTCGCAAAACGTTTTTGGTGGAGCGTGCATTGCTATACCTGGCTCGGCTATCTTTAAAACACGTACAAAATGAACAAGTTTTTCCTGAAATTTTGCCAATTTTTATACATATCTTTTTTTTTTTTTTTAATAAAAAGATTGATATTTCCTATCAACTATTTTTATTTAGAAAGAGTTGATATTTTCTATCAACCGTTTATAAAGTATCATTTTATTATCGTTAAATATTAAAAATCATTTTACTGATTTATTGACTTTTAAAAAGTTTTGAGTTTGAAGCGCACATCTCAGGTATAAAAATGCATTTCATATCTATATGATGATGCATCGCTGTTGAACAGACAACCTTTTCACATATGAAAAGATACGCCGTTTTCTTGGCAAAAGGTGTATTCATTAAAACAAACGTTATTCTATCTTCCTTTGATGTAGACTCCGTGTCTATGCGGTGTCTATTACGCAAAGTTACGCGACTCACGAAGAAAATGATGATATGGATAATGTTGCTTTCCACATGCGGAACTGAAAGAGGATATCTGACAGCAGCCGATATGCTTTATCGAAATTGCGCCATTTCTTTGCTATACTTTTCACGTGTACGTGTATGGAAGATCTCAGACTCTCCTCTTTTCGGATATAGACTTTACTCCTTTGGGAAGAACTTCCCTCTCTTTGCTAAAGATTTTCTCTTTTCCTACTATGTTTTTATTTTCAATATTAATATCTCAATTGCAATCTAAATTAAAATGCAATTGAATAAAAGTCCATTTTATGTCATTAAAGCCGTATCGATATATTTTTAGAACTTCAGTTTTTTTTTAAATTTTTAATCTTTAATCGCGCTATCTTAAACCAATAGAGTGCGTGATTTTTTTAAAGGACATCGTTATTAGATGAGTATAAAATGAGCAAGAATGTTAGAGTCTTACAACTTTACTTCTCATTATTGGCTGAAAGCACCAAGTTGAGAGATTGCCTCATGAAAGTCACTAACTTAACAAAATAACTAGAGTGAAGCGATATGTGGTAAGGGGCGGAAAGTGTAATTATTTGTTACCTCCGTATTTAGGGCATGCAATTTAACTTTTCATTATTAATTGCTAATCTTCATTTAAATTTAAGTAAAATATATATGTTATCAGATAAAAAGGTACTATGTATAAATTTCTGCTTTCTCGTTTTTTCGCAGTGTTAATTTTCAGATGATATCAATTAGATCTTTTCATTTTATAGAAATTTCATTTCTTTTACTCCGCTACGATGATAATTTCTCAGGGAATGCGGATTTATATCGCTTATTCCAATCAATGAACACCTCGATTGGGAAGATAAGGCAGATTAAGCTTGGAATATAAAATAAGGGTAAGATTAAAAGCTATGAAACGTTCAGGAACTGCTCACGGGAAGGAGGGAATTATAGACAGTTTTAAATATTTATCAGGTCGTAGAAGCGGCCACGGCCGGCGAGCTCTCCCACGACAAGGAACAGTCAAATGGTAATGAATCTATACGTTTGAGTACTGCCTTTCGTTCGTCTTTTTGTAGATTTTAATGCGATTTTAATTTTTTATAGATTTTAATTAATTGTAAAGCTATTTCGAAACATTGTGCTGGAAATCGTGATAATCTTCAAATTACTTTACATTTTGAGCGTAAGCTTTCGTAGTTCTCATCGTTACAGTATCATATCCAGCTCATCCTTATCAAGATTAACCATTTCGCTATCATTATACAATATTAGATATTAAATTAATTGTTATTAAATATTAAAGAATAAAATTCTTAAGAATTTCACAAAAGAGAAATGTTATTTATATTTTGCATAATAAAACAAAACTTTTGCGCAAATGTTATTCATGATTTTTACATTTATAATCTGTTTTTTTCCTGTAATATATGTACATTAATGCGAAAAGTACATTATGACATATATTTCAATTTGATAATAAAACTGTCAACCATTACTTGCGTAATCGCGTTACCTATATAATTTCCTTATTCTAATCCCGTGGGTCATCACAACGCAATCACGGTATATCTTGTGTATCCGCGCCATCGCTCCCGTTATCTTACGTCTTTCTCTAGCGCAAGTGCCGGCCAATAGGGCAGATTAAATGGAACAACGTGCTGCTCCGATATCACGTGCCGCGTAACAGCTTCCTCGACGTTGCTCGTGTACGGCACGGCGGGCGCCACAACCACTGAATCTCCCTTTAACGCCGGCACGAAATTTACAATGCGGCAATAGGCGCGGCTGCAGCGTGTAGTGGTGCATCGAGACGGGGATAATATCGAGCGCGTACACCTGTCTATCGGAGCCGAATGAAAGCGCGCCGGCGAGAATTGCCGGGATGAAAGGGACCGGCGTCGGTGTGGGGCTGCCCATTGTCCCGATTTCTCCCGGCGTCTATGTGGTAGACTTGTCGCGCCCGTTGCGGTACGTAATAATGTGATTATGGGATGTACCACCTTACCTCCCGCCCGATTCTCGAGCCCGGGATCCCCGAGATTTAGGGGAGGTGGTGGGACGCCAAGGCTGAGACGACAAGGTTGACGGAAATCGCGTGAATGCAGAACTTCGGAACCTCCCTCCTGCTCCGACCTGCTTCCTCAATCCTACGAGCTAAGGACTACGTTATTATGCCGCGAGCGGCGACATGCGTTTGACTCACCTAAGCATATCGTTGGTAATGGTTTAATTACGCGAGAATTACGACTGTTCTCGAGAAATGAGTCCGCGACATTATTACGTTATAGTGGATTTTGTATGAAAATAGCAGGAAGTCTCTCGCTAAAGGGATGCATTTTGCAAAGTATATTAAGAACGTTGCTTACTATATTATTACTTTGTGCGTTATGCGATAATTATATAATATTACAATATATTATAATACATACGTAACTAATGATTATCGTATATTATAATTGTCATATTACGTTTTCTATTATCTACACAATTAATCTTTCAATTTCAATATCGTATTTACATTGTTAACTCGTTCATTTTGTACGAGGAAGAACTAAATTCCCTTCCCATAATGATTCCCATTTAATTACGTCAATTTTCTTCAATGACACGCGCATTATAAGCTGCATGTTTCGCAAATCAACATTCCGTTTGGAAAAGGCTAACACGAGGGACTAACTCGATAATTCGATTAACAGCCATGTTACGCTTATCAATGCATTGACGCACGCGTTTACAGATAAGTTTACATCTCTCCTTTAGAGTTACTACGAAGCCGATATTACGCCGAGGGTCATGTGCATCAGATTTCACCCCATCCAAGTGCCTGTTTACAGTGATTAAATTATGCTCACGTTGCTGTTACACGTGCCCGCGCTAACGTGTCTACCTACAACGTGACGCGTTTCCTAGCTGTAGGGAATGGGGAGTTGCACGAAATAATGCACGTGCGCTTTGCAACTCACCGTCTGCCACACACTACTTGTAAGTATACATATGAGTGTGTGTGTGTGTGTGTGTGTGTGTTTATGCGTGTATACAGGGCACACTAAATGCACCCTTTTTAAGTTGTAAACGTTCGAAGTAATGTTAGAAAGAATAATTAAAAATCTTTTTAAATTTCCGCTGCTGCTACCTTTAGTTAAAATGAAGTTTTATATGTATATTTTATATATATACGTAATATAATTTTGGTGTAGACAGTCTTGAATATAATTATATACCCAACGTTCAAATTTTAATTTTAGTAAAATAAAATTTACACAAAATTAAAAAAAAAATTATATATTATAATGTAATATGATTATTATTGGATGTTTAAGTATTCATGAAAGTCTTATGATATCTTTGTATTTTATCAAGGTAAAACCTATTTTAAATTTATCAATAATTTGCGCTTAACTAAACGTGTTTGTTTATGAACAATATAAATTACTAAGTTAAAATTCGCTTCGAATAAGCGCTTATTTGTAGTAGCGATAACTAGTTAAAAATCTCATTACCGAACGTACACGTATTTAAATCGCCAAAAATTTACCGGCTTTCAGAAAATATGAATAACGTTACTGCCGAGAAGAGTTAATTATCCAGGTCATTCAAAGAAGATATTAATTAAAAGGTAAAATGTAACATGGTACTTATATAAGTAATATATTTATTACAATTATCTATTTTAAATCCATAAAAAGTTTGTGCGAGGAAATGAATAGCGTTAATAATAAAAATCAAGATAAAATAAAACGATCAGTCTACTAAAACTTAATTTATTAATTAAATTATTTTTACTCGTTTTATTTTAAACTATAATAATTATTCTTCTTATAATTTTTCTTTTCTAAAAATCTACTAGTGATATAAAAGTAAATTATAGATACTTTTATATTTATTGTATTAATATATATGTGTCAAAATGAATGAATATATCTGCAATCCAATCAATATCTCTACGAATAATCCAACATAACTAATAAGTTTGATTGCACTTTATGCGATTATTTGCATTTTTACTCAATAAAAAACTAATCAGGAACTAAAAGGTAAGTAAAGAAGTTTGATACAAAAAATATCAAACGATATGTATTTCTGTTAGGAAAAAATAAATAAATGAACAAATCAAATAAAAGTAATTAATAAGAAGAAACATTATTTCTTTCTACTCTACAAAATATACTATTTAAAAATTAAAAACGTAAAATATGTTGTGTTTCTAAACAAAACAATTTTTACGTAAGATGTTTCCAGAACTGATGAAATTAATAAGTTAGATGTTCTTTCGAATCTAATCGAGAAGTCAGACGAAATACCACGCGTAAATTCCGTTCCTTTTTTTTCGCTCGCCACTTACCGCGCTGCCAAATTGGAGTACTGGCTGGATTGCTGTCTACCTCGCATTTCAGGCTGACAGACATCCCCTCGACGATCGGAATTCCAAAACCAGGTAAACGCGTTATCGCGAACGATGGAGTATCTGAAACAGGTATTAAGCAATTAGTGTCAATGCCACGACGTCGATATACTACGTGATATTACAGAAAAACATAAAAAAAGAAAGGAAAATCGACGATATCATCATGCTATTATTACACCATCAACAGATTAATTTAAAATGATGTAAAATAGAATTGCTTTTAATATTCTGTTTTCAAATGCAATCTCAAAATATCTTAAAAAGAAATACGACATCGCAGATTGCAAGAAATACAAGATTCGTTCTATTTTGCTTGCTCTATTTCCGCGTAATATTCGTCTAAATGAATTTTATAATGAAATTCAAAATGAAAACAGTCATTTAATAAGTAATTCAGAAAGTCATAGCAATTGCAAATTGCAATCTTATTTCGCAGACGATAGCAAGTCTGTGAACTCGGTGCTTCGCTATTTTCAAATAAAATTTCCGGTAATCTTAAAATGTATTGGCCAACGTATCTGATTTCTACACATTCAAAAGTCATTCTTTGTACGACGGAAATTCTATGTACGAAGATATCGGATGGAGTCCAATGTGCACGAAAATAACCAATTTTCGAATAAAAATAGTAGACTTTAAGAAGATAGATTACGGAGAATACAATTCACAATAGCGAATAGAAAAGTCTTTCAGTTGATTTCCATCTTTATCAGTTTTTATCATTGCTTTTCGAAAATCAAAAATAGAAAAGAAGGAATAAAAGATATAAAAGTATTATACACATATATTATATACTTATATAAATATTTATATATTATATATTTATGTAAGATAAATTATATATTTAAAAAGAAGAAAGATACTGCACATTTTAATTAATTGAATCAAGGTATGATATAAAAGTAAAACATTAAACATTTTTCTGTTGCAGTAACATCTATATATTATATTAAATAATTATCTGCTCTGAATATAGAAATAATAATGAAACACTCTTCGGTAGTTACTATTATATTTAATTTTATTTCTAATCCAAATGGCTTTCTTTGATTGAATTAAATGATATTTCCAGATCGGCACTATTTTCCCAAATTTACACACAGTGTTTCAGTAATGCAAAAATACTTTTCGCATTATAAATATCTGCTTAAATGGTTTGTTTGTAGGTAACCCGTGGAATGCTTATTTCCACTGTGGGAGTTTATTGTGACCTGCTTTCGTGCGGAGTTCACTTCCCGAATACAAACCAGCTTTCCGCCCCTGAGTGACATTATGCGCAGCGACAAACTTCACATCATCACCAAATAGATATAGCGCAAAGGAAGCAAGAAGAGAGACAAGAGAGAGTGAGGGCAACGAGAAGCGTTAATTATCGGAATGTTCGTTATAATGAAGATGTAAATCCTGAGAGTTAGTAATTGGACGCATCAAATGTCTTTAGAAATCAAATGTCATCATTGTGAGATGACACACGTTGCTCCCGTTTCCTTCGGCAATCACCCCCCTTTCTCTTCTGCGTTCGATACGACGAGCTTTCCTTTCATGTCATTAACGTCCAATGTGGAAGCGGATGATGGGATTCCGACATATTCTGCTAGTGTGTATATAGGGCGACAGACGAACGACTAATGAAGTTGGCAGAGAACAACCAAAAGAGAAGTGGCGGAAAGGGAAGGTTTCCAAAATTGTCGTTGAACAAACGAAGTACAGATACGAGGTCGTAGCGAGTAATTAACGAACGGGACAGTCAAGATTTTACAGGCGCCGAGGTCATATTCGTTAAAAGGTCCTACTATCATCGTCGATACCAACGACAAATGGTGGAAATATCCACACGCTCTGTTGGCGCCCCGGCGAGTGGGACGTCGCTCGATGCCACCCCGGCGCCGCTCGAGCGATTTGCCGTTACCGTTATATCGTCGTTCAGCTCGTTAATATCACGCCGCGACTAACGGGACAGTCACCCCCCGAGGTCGCAGAATAAATTGGAGATGCGTCAAATTGTGCGAGAGAAGGAAGAGACGAGCCCCTGGAAAACGTGGCGAGGAGGGTTGCGGTTTGCGGGAGAAGCATACAGAATATCGGAAGCGGGAGGGAGGGAGTAGAGCGTGGGTGGCGTACGAGATGGAAAAAAGAAAAAATTGTAGAAAGATAAAACGGAAGATGAAGCGACGCAGGAAGAAGGAAGAAGAGAGAGAAACAAGGGCGGCATGACTACCAGGATGGCTCGAAGTTATTCACTCGGCTATAATAGCGCAGTGCTGGGACAATGCAAGCTTAATGAAAGCTTCTCTCCCCGGCGCACCGACGACCTCACCTCCTCGTTCTCCTTGCTGTTCCCGGTCCGTCGTAGTCGCCGACGTCACCGACGCCGCCGGGCACGCCGCACTGTAGTCCCAGTGCAACGGCGTAAACACCAAACAAAAGGAACAATGAGACACAGAAGTGTCCCACAGACCTCGATCGCTTGATGAGAACTTTAAAGCGCACCCGCAAACTACTGGTTCATCTTTTATTTCAGAATGGACACCGGCAGAATGCCGCTATAAAATTCTTTTGCCATAATCCCGCGGAAGCTTTCTTTTTTTTTTTAGGTATCCGGTTAATGACTACGTTTACACGGATGCCTTTAATCGGGTTTAATGACATCCGTAGTTATGAAACTGGCCATCGTGGCTGTTTCTGCCGAAGAATGGAATGACTGCGATTGGCTATTCTCTTTTGAAGTTATAACGCTCTTTTGTATCTTCTATCATTTTATTTATCATATATTCTTTCTCTCACTAGCGATACCGGCTGATTAAATTTGACAGTAATAGTAATTGACTGTTCAATGGCGCAAATCGCACGAGTCGGACTGCGCGAACCTTTAAGGTGACCTCACTTTACAACAGAATGAATCTCTTCGAAAGAAATTTCTCCCACTGTTTCAGCCGGAACGCCCGTAAACTTTATACGGGCCGTTAAGCAAACCTGTATACGACCCGCGGGAGAGAATTTTGTGAACGCGTGTACGTAGGAAAGGTAGAACACACGAATATATGGTGACATTATTAAACGACTAAAATTTGTTGTGTAGAATCTATATTGTTCTTATACACGATTTAATAACGATTGATGAGACGAATTTCAGTAAATCTCCGGGATGACGTGTATAATTTCTATAGTTGAATAAATTTCCAAGGCATAAATTTTCGGAAATAATTTTATGGTAAAATTTGAAATATTTTATTTTTTACTTTACACTTATATATATGAAAATAATTTCACAAATTCAATGTAAAACGTGCACATTGTTACTCGGTAAGCCGTTTCTGTTTATCGAGATTGCTTTTTACGTGAACTAAAATAAATAACACAATATAGACAACAGTATTAACTAGCTTTAAAAGGAAATCGACATCGATTAAAAGAAACGCGTAAAACCGCGATCGCGAAAACAGGATATGGCATTCGAATGCGAGGTATAACGATGAGAGAAAAAAAAGGAGCCTGATTCGTCGGTGCTGGCCGATTGCAAATCATTAAACAACCATCATTGGTATAACCGCGCCGTTATTGAGGCGACAAACCGTCGAATGGCTCTCGTTGCGACGCGATAATGTTCGTTGTATATATTTGCAGAACGATGAAATGGCAGGGGAGACGTGTATAGTGTGAATACAAGCTGCAGGATAACGTCGAGAACATACAAAAATTCGTCGGTTGTATCATAGTGTCATCTGCACCGAACAGAGTTCTCTGCAGAGTCGGTTTTACGTATGTATGATTCGCGTTGCTTTGTTTCCTCAAATAAACTACATCTGAGTGAGATAATTGTATAATAATGAATTATATATTTTAGAAGACTTAGTACTTAATTATTTTAACATCAATCTTAGACTTTCCTCTTTAGACAATTCTCTTATCCTTGATTTAATCATCAGGAACTACAACGCTACAATTAAATCCTACAAATGACAATTTGAGCTCGAAAGCTGGTATTGTTTCTCGTAGTAGTCTTGTGTAGTTTGCCGGAATCCATTACGATTATCTGAATGACAAAACGAGGACAACAGCCGGATTCCTGTCGATCTTGCATTTCATCTGTATCAACTGCCATGCTAAACTGCGACTGGTATGTACCAGTTTATGCACATCGAAACGACCGCGGTTTACGATGGCAGCCATTAAAGTTTAAGTCCGGCTTTATTGGGTCAATGGGCGACGCGTACCACGTGTGAAAATTAAGCCCTCATAACGTGTCGGGTACACAAAGGGTTGGCAGTCAAAGAGGCAGACATTGAATAATGCCGCGCGGTTTTCCTATTCAATCGTGTCACGTATGCTGCATAACTTTATTAATCCTGAAGGAAGAGATAAATGTTCAACAAACAAGCTCAAAAGACACGAAAGATAGAGACTGAAGGTACTGTCGTGAAAAATACCGTCGATTCAGATATAATGCTGATATAAAAATAAAAACAAGGTATGCAATTAAAAATATAAAAGATTGAATATAATTTATTATATGTTCGAGATTATATTTTAACTAATAAAAATCTGATTAGTGTACCAATAAATTGTTTAATTATACAGTAACTGATGATATTTCATCAATTACTGATGCAGTACCAGTTACTGATCGAGCTAAGTTCATTGAAACATTAATCAATTCTTTTTTCTAAAGGCATAGATACATATAAATATATACAACCAATAGGACAGAATAATACAATATAAAGCTCATAACGGTCGAAGTTAAATCTTTAATGCTTAAATAATTTAATAATTTTAATTGTACCTATAAAAGAGAGAGAGAGAGAGAGAGAGAGAGAGAGAGAGAGAGAGAGAGAACATAGGATTTTTACAAATATAATATTTATTGACTATCTTTTCTCTTTCTTTATTTCTCTTCTTTTTAAATTTATTTATTTCTCCTCTTTCTCTCTATATTACATAAGATATAAATTTACTAGAAAACTTATTTATTACATTCAATAAAGAACCAAATATTAGTCAGTTCGCGTGCCTTACATAAAGAAACAGATACGAAGTAGAATAACTCTTCGCTATTCTGT